AAATGTAAAAGGTGAAGTCACAACTGACCCTGAAGGAATTAAAAAGATTATCAGAGATTATTATGAACATCAGTATGTAATAAACTAGAAAACCTAAAAGAAATAGAGGATTCCCTGACATCACACAACCTCCCAAGATTGAAATCAGAAGAAATTGAAACTCTAAACAGTCCAATAACAATCCAGAAAATCAACACATAAGAAATCTCTCCACAGAAAAAGCAAATAAACTAAAAAGCCTAGAAGAAATGTAGAATATTCTGACATCAAACAACCTCCCAAGGTTGAAATAAGAAGAAATCAAAACTCTAAATAGACAACTAACAATCCAGAAAATTAACTAATAAATCAATTTCATAAGAAATCTCCCCACAGAAAAAGCCCCAGACCAGATGACTTTCCCAGCTGAATTCTACAGGACACACAAGGAGGAAATGATACCAATCATACTGAAAGTATTCCAGGCAATTGAGAATTATGGAATTCTCCCCAATGCATTTTATGAAGCTACCATCATACTGATACCTAAACCTGAAAAAGACCCAACAAGGAAGGAGAGTGACAGGCCAATCTCCTTGGCCAACATGATACAAAAATTCTCAACAAGATTCTAGCAAAGCAAATTTGATCCAAAAACAATCTCAAGGATCATCCACCATGACAGGTTGCCTTCATTCCTGGGATGCAGGGCTGGTTCAGCATTCACAAGACCATAAACGTAAATTTCACACATTGACAGATGTAAAACCAAGAACCACAAGATTACATCATAGATACAGAAAAAGCATTTGGCAAAATCCAGCAGCCCTTCTTGATAAGAACCCTCCAGCACCTAAGCATAGAAGGAAGATCCTTCAAAACACTAAGAGTCATTTATGGCAAATTCACAGCCAAAATTTTGCTCAGTGGGCAGAACTTGGAAGCATTCTCCCTAAGAATGGGAATAAAACAATGATACCCACTCTCACCCCTCCTGTTTGACATGGTGCTAGAAGTCCTAGCCAGGGCAAGAGAAGGAAATCAGGGGTATCCAAATAGGAGAAGAAGAAGTTAAGCTATCCAACTTTGTGGACAGTATGATTCTATACCTTGAAAACCATAGGGAGTCTGTCAAAAACCTCCTCACACTGATAAATGACTTTGACAAAGTCTCAGGGCACAAAATCAACATTTTTGATTGATGCAAATGACAATTGCATTTCAGTCATGCAGAGAACCAAATAAAAAGCACAATCCCATGCACATAGCCACAAAAAAATGAAATACTTGGGCATCTGCCTAACTGGAAAAGTGAAACACCTTTACAAGAGCTACAAAACGCTGCTCAAAGTAATCAAGGATGACACAAACAAATGGAAAAAGCATTCCATGCTTATGGATTGGAAGAATCAATATCGTTAAAATGTCTATCCTACCAAGGCAATCTACGGATTTCAATGCAATACCATCAAATAACTAACATCATTTTTTATCAAACTAGAAAATGACAATACTGAAATTCATAAGGACATAGAAAAGAGCACAAATAGCCAGAACAATTCTCAGCAAAAGGAACAAAGTGGAAGGCATCACACTTTCAGATTAAAATTTATTACAAGGCTACAGTTATCAAAGCAGCCTGGTATTGGTACAAGAACATACACAATGACTAATGGAACAGGACAGTAATTTTGGAAGCAAAGACATGATTTCTCAACAGACTCATCTTCAACAAAGCCACCAATGACACTCTGCAGAGAAAGAAAAATCAACTCAAAACGGAGCAAAGATCTAAACATAAAACTTCAAACTGTAAGAATCCTAGATGAAAATGTAGAAAACACTCTTTTGCACAATGAAGTAGGCAACAAATTCTTGACCAAGTCCCCAAAAGAGAATGCTATAAAAGCTAAGATAGACAAGTGGGGCCTCGTCAAACTTTTGCACAGCAAAAGAAAGCATCAAGAGAGTAAAGAGACAATCCACAGAATGAGAAAAAATATTTGCAAATCATGCATCAGGCAAAGGCCTAACGTCAGGATCTACAAGGAGCTCAAACGAAGAGAGAAGAAAAAACTCAATAACTTCATTTAAAAGTGGGCAAAGGACATGAACAGACACTTCTCACAAGACAATATAAAGCAGCCAACAGACACATGAAAAATGCTCAGCCTCACTAATCATCAGAGAAATGCAAATCAAAACAACGAGATACCACCTCATTCTTGTGAAGATGGCTAGCATTAATAAGTCAAAAAAAAAAAAAGAAAGAGAGATGCTGGCGTGAATGTGGAGAAAAGGGAGTGCTTCTACACTGTTGCATGGGAGTGCAAGCTACTTCAACCTCTATGAAAAGCAGTGTGGCAAATCCTAAAAGAACTAGAAATTGATCTTCCATACAATCTTGCAATCCTTCTCTGGGAATATATCCAGAGGAACATAAATAATTCTACAAAAAAGACACCTGCACATGTATGTTTATTGCTGCTGTATTCTCAACAGCAAAAACATGGAACCAACCCTACTGCCCATTGAATGTGGACTAGATAAAGGAAATGTGGTACATAGAGATGATGGAGTATTATGTAGCCATCAAGAGCAAAATCATAGACTTCACAGCAAACTGGATGGAGTTGGAGACCATCATACTTAGCAATCTATCACATAAATAAAAAACTGAATACTGTATGTTCTCACTCATAAGTGGAACCAGAACAGTAGTCACATAAACACAAGGGCAATCAGCCATTTCTGGGCACTGCTAGGGGAAGGAGAGAGAGAGGAATGAGGCGGGCACATGACAACACAGAGTACCTTCTTCACTACTGGTGGAGTGAGTGCCATTAGGAAGCCCAAACTTCACCTGCATGCAGCCTACTTATGTAGTTAATCCTCACTTGTAACCCACTTATCTAATAAAATAAAATGAAATAAAAGAAAAAATAGTTTATGCATAATAACTTACTTTAGTAATTGCCAGGTATTACCTTAGAATATTAAATATGTTTTATTATGATTTTCTTGTTTATTTTGTGAATGGATTTAAATGGAGAAATGACCCTCAGTCTTTAAGATGTAAAATTTTAAAAAGTGCTACAAACAGTTTGGCATCTCCTGGAAATTTAGGGTGTGGTTGTATGTGTGTGTGTGTGTGTGTGTGTGTGTGTGTATGTGCTTGTGTGTACATATATACTCACATATATACACAAATAGACCTTAGAGAATAATAAATATGGAGTTGTACCCAGGTCAGACTGAGTAGAATGTCAATCCACGATTTATGATATAGTTGAGGCTGCAGAGTATTAGGGAAAATTTTGTCACTGCATGTAGACCACCATAATCTTATTCCCAGTTACTCTTTTTAACCATAAAATAATGCAATTATTTATAGCACAAAAGATGATATAGAAAGATAAAAGAGTGAAAACTAAGATGACAGATTTTTCATATGCTTGCAATTTTAGGACTAAAATGAACACATATTTAGCAATAACTGTGAAATTGTTAACAATTCTGCCAAGAAAAAAGGCAAGAACATTGATTTTCTGTTTTTGTTGATGATAACATGACTTGGCCTATAAGGTGTTTAGATTCAAATTGGTGAATTTATCATATTAAATATTAATTATGTGTTGTTTATTCTCCCCACTAAAATTTTAGAAAACGTAGAGTAAGAGTTATCTTTTATTATTACCATATCCTCAACACCTGTCATAAGACAATTAAGTACAACCTGAATGGTTAATCATACATTAGAAAGTTATTTCACAATTTTAGTATTTAAATGAAATTCTATTAATAAACAATTACAAATGAAAATCAATGTATAATATTCACTAAGAGGTTTTGTAAAATAAATATCGCATATGACTTGCCTAATACAAAATGAAGTTTGTAAAATATTAACACAGCAGAAGTTGTTTCTCTTCTCTACTTCCAAAAACTCTAGAGTTATCTAGACCCTCAGATTAAAACTCAGTGCTCCAGAAAGTTGAGCTCTCACCAGCTTATCATTATTTTTACATTTCCTACTCTTTGTTTTTTCTTTTAATTTTTAGCATTATTTAATCTACCTAAAGAAATATACCTCTGACTAAAAGAGAAAAATGATTATGCTACCTCATAAAGTTATTGACAGAATTAAATGAGCCAATACAGAGCAAACAATTACGATAGGTCTGCAATATGGTAATTGCTAAAAAATTTCATTGTAACTTCGGCTTCCCTCCTTTCACTTCTCTTTATTTTAATCATAATTAATAGTAGTAAAAGCATTTGAATACATGAGTTTCTGTTATTTTCAAATAGACAAGTGAATATTTAATTTTATCTTTAGACCCCTGGTGATTGTGGTTATTTAATTTCACAGAAGAATGAAAGTTTTAGAGTCCACATCTGCTTGACATTCTCTTCATCAAACTAAATGCCCTAATTCTCTTCCAAAGCAAACCATTCCTGTTTAAAATCATAATCCTTAACCCAGATTTTCTACTTTGTTCAAATACACGTGAGTAAAATACTTTAATTTTCAGGAAATTATGACATAATATTCAGCTGTATTAAATTAATTGAGTACTATGTGGGGAAAATTTTAATATGGAAATGCAAAAAGCACATGTGTAACTATAAGGAGAGAGCTTTGAGAGGGTACACATAATAGAAAGCATTTACAGGAACTTTTTTCTTTTAATATTGTTCATACCTTCATTTCCCAGAAACACACACACACACACACACACACACACACACACACACACACACACACACACACACACACACGGTGTCAAAAAATGTGTCTACATTTTAAGAAAGGAAAAAACTGTATTAAAATTGTAGGGTCACGTTTGACTTCTGCAATTACAAGAGGCGCCCGAAATGGTAACCATCAGCATCCAGACAGTTCTGATGATGGTGAACATCTCTTTTGGGGCACCCTCGGTGTGTGT